TTGCTTTTTTTTTCCATTTTACCTCTCGACAGAATTTTCTCTCTTTTGGCTTATCCCCACTTTGAAATCGAGCAAATAAATCGCCAAGCATCCTCTCTTTCTCCAACTTGGGGGAGTCCGATAATTTGAACATAAATTTTAGATCAATTGAAATAAAAACGAAAACTAATCGAAAAAGTTTAAAACAATTTTTTTTTTCCTACGAATCTTAAAAAGGGACATTCATTGCGATTTTTTTTTATTTCCATATATATATATGAGAAAAATAATTATTTTCCATATTAGAAAAATAATTATTTTCCGTATTAGAAAAATTATTATTTTCCATATTAGAAAAATAATATTTCTTTATAGGAAAAATAATTTTTTTTTTCGTACACTGAGAAAAATTTTTAGTCAGAGCAACCAAATTTTGGTTGGGCCAACAAATAAAAATTTTGTTGGTATTTAAGCAACCGAACTATTTGTTTGAGTCAACCAAAAAATTTGGTTGAGTGATTTTTGTTGGTATAACAAAAATGTTTGGTTACCTCAACCAAATTTTTTTTTGTTAGGTCAACAAAAATGTTTGGTTAATCACTGGACTATCCATCCTTGTGAGAGATTTAAACTAACTGTTCTCTTAAACTAAGAGCGAATCAAATTATTTGGTTGTCGCAACCAAATTTTGGTTAGGATAACAAACCATCATTTGGTTTTTTAGACATAAACTATTTTGTTGTGTTAACCAAATTATTTTGTTGTCGTAACCGAATTTTGCTTGGAATTTAAAAATGTTCAACCAAATAATAATTTTGTTGGCCTAACCAAATGTTTGGTTGAGATAACTCTACGACTTTGTTTCAGCCAACCAAAATTTGGTTACAAGAATCAAAATTGTCTATAATCAAACAATTTTGTTGCAATCACTAAATTTTTTTTCTCAGTGTATGGAAAGTAGAAAAATATAAATAGTTTATATATTTATTGTGAATTATTGTGAATGAGATAAAGTGTCATAAAACAAAAAAATTTTTTATTTATTTTCTTTTTTTTTTAAACTGTTGAAAAAGATATTTTTTATATTGACAACGTTATGAATTTTGTGTTCGGTCATCGTTTTTCGGAACTGTGAAATACCTACATAGTATATATAGTTGCCGATAACATGTGCCAACACATTTTGAAAAAAAATTCATGACCTTCATATTTCATCTCGTCGCGTTGCCTATACAATTCATCATTCTATTAGAACAAATGGGGTATGGTTTTCAAATACCGCAAATCAACACACAAGTTAGGATATTATGAATGCAATTTTTTTTTTGTATTTTTGAATCGAAAATAATTTGGATAATTTTTGTTTTAGCATACGAATTAATTTGTAAAAATATTTATTCCGAGTAGAAAACGATATTGATCATTTTTCAGTGAAAAAAAGGGGAAAATGAATTTTTTCTATTTTTTGAATTATCTTCAAGGAATAAAATTAGCGATATATTTCATTAAAATAAAAAGTTTTTATTCTAGAAAAATCGCTGTAAAAATTTTTTTCCATTTTTTTTTCTCTCTTAATACTTCCGCGATTCTTTGAATTAAATAAAAAGTTTTGTTTATTATTATTATGTTCTATGAAAAGAAAGAATTTTTTTTTTTTTTGAATATTTAAATGCGGGAATATTTTATTCGCAACTACCTTAAATAAAAATATGTTGAGATTTTGTCATTTTTGCATCGTTGAAATTCCTTTTCTCCAGCTTTACATATTTATTTAAACAGTTTTTCAAAAAATAATATTAAATTTTTGTTGAGAAATTTAAAAAAAAAAATTTTTTTTTTTTAAATTTCCAAGTCAAACGAGAGTAGTTAATTTAATGAATACTATTTTTTTTTTTAACTTTTATATTTTTTATACCTTTTTTTTCGCGGGAAATAAAAAAGGGTCTATATGACATTTGTCACATGGTTTAGGGACATATAGGGTGAAACTGTTCGAGTTAAAAACTACGGTTGTTTACACTGTAACTACCTTTTTTTGTGGCCTTTTATGGCCATATAACGCCTTGGCACAATGCAGCTTATGCCAAGCTAAGCCGCTATCTTGAAGGAGGCTGCGAGGATTAACTCTCAAGTATTGTGCGCAGCTTGCGCTTCTCACTGAATTCAGGGTCGAAATGTTTTAATATAGACACAATCTAAACCTGTTTTATAGCTTATTCAATAATTAATATTTTAGTTTTCACTAAGGAAAAATTTGCATTTTTTAAGATCACGTTTAAAATTAACATTGTTTATATTTTATTTTTTATTGAAAAATTTCGAAGAAAAATAAACAAAACAAAAAAATCTGCTTTTGTAAATATTATATAAACAATTTTTTTTATCACATCGAAAAAAAATTTTGATTCAAATAATCGGTTACTTATATCAATATTTACTTGTATCAAATAATTATTGAGATGGTATTTGGTTTCTAATTATTTGGTTCAAGTAAATATTTATTTGATAATAGTCAAGTACAAGTTTTTTTTTGAATCAAATAATTTTTTTTTCAGTATTTTTTTTTTGTGACTGTTAAATAATTTTGTGGCTATTTTTCTATTTTTGTGATTTCTTTTTAATCATTTTTTTTTTTTCTGTAAAAATTGCATCGGAATAAAATAATTTTCGCATAAGAAAATTTAAAGAAAAAAGGGGGAAAAACATGAATATAATTGGCGTTAATAATTTATTAAAACAATTTATATTTTATATATATATATATATAGGTTGCATGAACCGGGTGTTCGTATAAAGAGCCAACGGTACTTCGTCCTTTACTTGGAAAGACTCCATATGGACGACACCATTGCAGGTTTAGCGAACAGGTTGTTTGATTGCAGTTAATTTCTCTTATACCCGACCACTTTTTGTATACACAAGGTTTCACCAAGACGATTTCACAAGGACGCGGGGAATATTTTAAATATTCAATTTATTTGATCAATTATTATTGAAATAATTTTCAATATTTATATATAAAACAAAAACTATTTTTAGATATATATTTATATAAAAATGGACAATTTCAGAAATTTGTCAGTGATTTTTTTTTTTCCTGTTTGCCATTAATAATGATTTAATCTAGAATCAAGACGATTAGCCCACTATTGCAACTGGCTTGGAGAATACCGGATTAGCTTAATGGTGAATTCGTGTTAACCCAAGTGACGGATCTGATGGGATTCGATTGTCTGAACATGCAATTTATACCTTGGGAATTGTATATATATCTATATCGAGAAGATTCGAATTTAATTTCTTTTCTTTTCTTTCTTTTTGCTAAAGAAATTATTTTTTTCTTTTTCTTCAGAGAAAAAGTCTGTGTGCTTATTTAATCTCAATGTTCTTCTTTACATGCGACTTGCGGTATAAAAAAAAAAGTTCTTCTTTATATGGAGTACACTTGAGCTAATTAAATTTCTCATGGATGAATTTTTCATAGAGCCCTTTTTTTTATTGACTTCTTAAACTGCTTCCAAGGACCAGAATTTCTTTTCATTAAATTATTTTCCATTTGTAATGAGAAATTATAAATTAAAGGAAAAAGTTAAAAAAAAAAAATGTTTTTCATATATTTTTGAGATTTTGAAAAATAATTACTAATTAAAACTTCTTTGGCATTTTTAATAATTTCTATGAATTTCTTTTTTTTTATAGAAAAAAAGTCAAATTATTTATGTGCTACATTGAGATTTGAAAAAAAATATTTCTTATTGAAAAGAAATAAAAAATTCTTTGTACTCTTCGTTCCGTTATTATTATAAAACCGGTTGGTCCAAACAGATGGTATCCCATATAATCATAATAGTTTCCTATAAAATTGGCAGCAATTACTAGTTTATAACCTTCGTGACTATATAAATCTTGTGTAATTCCCTTCAACTTTTTTTTTTATATATATATTTAATATGTGATTCTACAAATTCTTTATTTCTATAAAACGATATAATATTTTAAACAGTTATATAGGAAAACTGGTTTTCTCATATCTGTCAGATAAAAACAAATTGAAAAAATTAGTTTTCATAATAAATATGCTACTAAATTTTAATTTCATTGAATGTCAACATAATTTTCTATTAATATTAATATTTTCTTCTTTTTTATAAATATTTTTTCTTATTTTATTATTTTTTTTTGTCTTTTCTTATTTAAAAAAATTTTTTTAAAACACTTTTTTTTAAATAATTTTTTTTTAATAGTATATTTATGAAATTAAAGTATTATTTACTTTAAGTGTAGAAATGCATATAAATCTCTTTGGGGTTGCGTGACTTGTAATCTAAAGTGTTCTCCTAAATCAGAAACTTCTTTCTTATTTTCTTGTAAATTGTACGATGTACCAGAATTTTTCCTTCTTCCTTCGATTTCTTCTAGCTCGAAAACCTATCCTTATTCTGTTGACAAATTAAATTACCGACCCGTGCAATCTTACTCCCTTATTTCTTTCATTCCAATGTTATACCTATTCCCAAGCAAACATCATGTTATTTGAGAAAAAAATATTTGCTTCAACAAAACAAGAACAACAATTTATACAAATAAAACAATATTAAATATTTAAAAAAAATAAAAATGCCACGATAAAAAAAAACAACAATTTTTTCTAAATTTACATTATTGAAAAATATTTATTTTCAAATATTAAATTAATAAATTTTAATAATAAATATATTTTGAGGCCTTTCGAAAAAATTAATAATTATTAAATTTAATATTAAATGTTAATTAATTTCCTTTTTTTACTCAAATGTTTGTGTTGATTAAAAATAGAGGAAGGAAGCACATATGAATTCTCGAATCCATAATTTTAATTAAGTTAGTCAGGTAACCGTGATATTCTAATTATTAATTATTAAGGCACCCTGGACAACCTGTGCGTATAATGGAGTATCCTTTGAATTGAAAGCCAATACTTTAAACTCATTTAAACTCAACGCATCAGTAATTCATTCATCCTTTTTTTTTTTTTGTTCCAGATTTGACTGTTGGCAGTCAGTCAGAAATTTAATAACTTCCTACTACGTTAACGAGAAAGAGAGAGAGGAAGATTTTGCAATTTTAATGGCTTCTTGAAAATCAAGAGTAAGTTGAAGCTTCTTTTTTACTATTTTATATAAAAAAAAAAATTAAACTAATTTAAAAAGAAAAAAATCTGTCACAGAAACCACTGCGGTTTTTTAAAAACTTGATCTTAATTAATAGAAAAAAAAACTTTTATAAAGACAATGAATGTTAAAATTTTCATACAAAAAAAAAAAAATTGTTTAATAATAGTAATAATACAATAAGGTATATGAGTTTAAACTTTTCGAGTTTGTAAAAAAAAAGAACATCAGTCTTGTTTTTAAAAGCAAAAAAAAAAAGGCCAAGCTGTTCGCGACAACAAAACCTGCCGTCATGCGATATTAATATCACTGTGAAGGATGCTTTAATAAGTCCACGACGTCAGTAATGAAACCCATTCATATAAAAGTTTTCCACGGGTGGTGACGGTTTAATTGAACACGACTCCCAAAGTTGAGATGGTCGTCGGTTTCGGGGTCGTCTCCTTTCTTCTTGACCCGATAAGCAGTTCTTTTGACATGATCCTTGTTTTTCTTTTATAAATTTTGAATGACCAACAAAAAATTCTCCTCCATCATTCACTGTTTTCAATTAAATTTATTTTTAAATTATTTAAATTCTTTTAAAATTTAAATCAGTTTAATTATTTAAATTATTTAAAATTTAAATCATTTTAATTATTTTAATTATTTTAATTATTTAAAATTTAAATCATTTTAATTATTTTAATTATTTAAATTCTTTAAAATTTAAATCATTTTAATTATTTTAATTATTTACATTATTTAAATCATTTGAAGCATTTGAATAATTTAAATTATTTAATAATACATTTTTTTAAATGGGCTTAATTGTCTTTAAAACAATTTGCAATTAAATTATTTAATAATTATTATTTTTATTGTTCTTAATTGACTTTAAAAAAATTTGTAGTTCAATTATTTAATACAATTTTTTTTTTTATTCGGCTTAATTGACTTCAAGAAAATTTGTAATTAAATTATTTAATTATTTGAATTATTTAAATCATTTAAAAACCTGATATATACATTGGACGATTGGAAATAATGATTTAAAAAATTAATCCCTTATGTATAAATAAATATTTTTGTATAATTCAAAAAGAAATATTGCTCTCTTGTTGCGCTGTTAATAAATTCTTATAGCAATATTTTCATATTTAATATATATCTTGAAATAATAATTACCGCTTTTTGACATATGAAATAATATAAAATAAATTTGTTATAAAATTTTTACTTATTTCATTAAGTAATAAAAAATTCATTTCTTTGAATATTAATATTTTTGTGTATATTAAAATTTTAGATATTTAATACATTTTCTCTTCTTGCCAATAAATTGTAAATATTTAAACATTATTTAATAATGTAAACTACATCATGTAGTAAAATGTCAATCCATGAAAAATGAAAATAACTTTACTTTAATTATTTATCACAGCAGAAAATGAGATGCTATTTTCAATTCTATTTTTCAATTGTTGGATCATTAAATACTTTTTTAAAAAAATAATAATCCAAGAAATTATAATAATTTTATCAGGTTTTTTTTTTTTTAAATTTCGGCATTTTTTTAAAAAAAAACTCTAATCCGGAATTATTTATTCACCCTGAAAATTGTCAGGACAATTAATTGTTATCCAACTGACGAGTTCGATTAGATATATATATATAATAAAAAAAAGACAAGTCAAGTGGTTGGGAAATTTTCCCTCGAATTTTCGTCGAGAATCATCGTTTTTTTTTCCCCGAGCAAACTGACCATAGAAAGTACACATACATAGAAAATGCTCGTCTATCAAACCGGGTGTCCGTTCCAGCTGGCCATCTCATTAATTTTTCATCGATCGTCGGTCGGTCGCTCAATTAATTCCAGTTGGTACTGCGACTAAGCTATATATGAAAATAAAAAAAAGATAAAAGTATATTCCGTCCTTCATTCATAAAATAGTCAATATATATAAATTTTTTTTTTTTTTTTAGAAAAAACGTAAATACCAAATCACATATTTCATTCAATTTCCAATAAAAATGAATTTGGTGAATATCAACAAAAATTTGTTTATTTTCATGTATTTTACATAAATTGTTTTTTTTCTATTTGTTACTATATTTTTGGCTATTTGAAAATATTTTAATACAAAATCTAAATAGCTTTTGAAAACATGTAAAAATAACTAGGAATCATCAAATAATTTAAATGGTTTTTTTTCCTAATTTTGTAATTTATCGAAATTGTATACAATTAGAATTAAATTAATTAAATTTTACTAAGTGATTAGTAAAAAATAAAATTTTTACTATTAAATATTTTGATTTTAGTACGTAGATGGTTAAAAAATTAACAAAATGGTAAAAATTTTAAAAAAATAAAAACTTACCAACCTAGAAATCTACGTTGCCGACTGATGGTAAAACAGTTTTTTTTGAAAAATGAAAATATAAAAAAAATTACCGACATAGAAATCTATCTTACCGACTGATAGTAAAACAGTTTTTCGAAAAATGAAAATATAAAAAATTACCGACGTAGAAATCTACCTTACCAACTGATGGTGAAACAGGTTTTTTTGAAAAATGAAAATATAAAAAATTACCGACGTTGAAATCTACCTTACCGACTGATGGTAAAACAGAATTTTGGAAATTGAATATATAAACATTACCGACATAGGAATCTACCTTACCGACTGATGGTAAATTTATTTGAGAAAATTTTATGGATCTTTTTAATCAGTTGGTGAGGTAGCCTTCTGTGCCGGTAATTTTTTATACAACCAATTTAAAAAACTGCTTTACCTTCAGTCGGTAAGATAGATTTCTGTGTCGGTAATTTTTATCTTTTCATTTTTCAGAAAGCTGTTTTACAATTAGTTGGCAAGGTAGATTTCTGTGTCGGTATTTTTATATTTTAATTTTCAAATTTTTTGTTTTTATTATTATTATTAAATATTATAACTGTATATTGTAAAATGAAAATATAAAAAATTACCGTCGTAGAAATCTACCTTACCGACTGATGGTAAAACGGATTTTTGGAAATTGAATATATAAACATTACCGACATAGGAATCTACCTTACCGACTGATGATAAATTTATTTGAGAAAATCTTAGGGATCTTTTCAATCAGTCGGTGAGGTAGACTTCTGTGCCGGTAATTTTGTATATTTCCAATTTAAAAAACTGCTTTACCTTCAGTGGGTAAGGTAGATTTCTGTGTCGGTAATTTTTATCGTTTAATTTTTAAGAAAACTGTTTTACCATCAGTTGGCAAGGTATATTTCTGTGTCGGTATTTTTATATTTTAATTTGCAAATTTTTTGTTTTTATTATTATTATTATTATTTTTATTATTATTATTTTTATTATTATTATTATAATTAAATATTATAACTGTATATTGTAATTATAATGTATATAATTTATTTTAAAAAGAAATTTATATAATTTGTAATTAATTAATTAATTAAAGGAATATTTTGTATTCCATAAATGGTTTAGTTGCATCTCGGTAACAGAATGATTTATATCGTTTGTATACGTTCGAAAGCAACTACGTAAATGATTTAATACATCATTTAGATGACTCTAGATATATTGGCTAACATTTTTAACTTTCTCGTTAAGTTTTCCTTAATATCAAGAGAAATTCTTTTGAAATTGTAACCTATAATAATAAATGTTGTGTTCCTCCTTTTATTGTATATATTTTATATATACTTGAAATTAGATTAAAGTGTGATGATTACAAAATCGCTACGGTGTCATCGAAAACTTTCTCGCGCATTTATAAGAGAGATACCACCTTTTAGTAGAAACTAATTTCTCTGTTAACTTTTGAAAATAGAAACTTGGAATAATTTATCTATACTCTCTTATTTCTATTTATTGAATAACTTTTCTATATTTGGAATTTTAGATGTTTTGTTAATATATATATTATTTTTATAAAAATCATTCTCTTTCTATGTCGAGTATATATATATATATATAGAAGATTACATTAGTTGTCGGAAATTGTCGTTGATATAAGATAAAAAAAAAATTTCCTGTGTTTCAGTTTGTAGACCATTTTGCTTTCTCTATATAATTCAGTAACAGCTGTGTGAGCAGTGTAGACTTTAATCGTTTTATAATAACGCGATAACTTTAATAGTGAGAACCTTCGGTGGCAGAAATCAGAACGTTTTATATATGAGATTTCTTGAGTATTATACAATTATTACCGATTTTGACCATTTTCATCGTATTACATTTCAAGTTTATTTTTAGTATTATATAAAGAAGCAGAAAAAGAGGCAAGATTTATTAAAAGAGATTTTAATTAACTAAATAAAATAAAAGTTTTATTTTAATAAATTTTTCGAACGAAGAAAGTAGTCGGTTGAACCAAATGGACGTTTGGTTGATTTAACCAAAAGTTTGGTTAACTTAGCAATTATTTATTTATTTGGTTTAGTGTACTTTCTGTATTTTTATATTTAGTTTCTATTTGTTTATTTTTTTAGTATTTTTTTCATTATATTTTCCATGACAAGATTTTATTTTTTTTTTTTTGACACGATACATAATACAAGTTCAGGGTCGTCTTTCGAAAAGGTAAATGTCAGTAGATTTTTCTTGAATTCTCGATCTTGTAGCGTCAAAATTTTTGTCGTAAGCCGTGAAAAGTAACGTGGCGAACCAACATTTGCATTGCATTCAGAAAAATGTTTTCCGAGAGATGTATAAAGACTTTTTTTTCTTTTTTTTTTTTACAGTTCACACACCTTTTTAAAAAAGTTGAAAAGCTATTGCAAAATCTGTACAATGAAGTCTGCCGAGTTAAATGAGAAAATAAAAAAATGACGAATCGAGAATGAGTTTGCTATTTCGCATATAAAATACTCTTTTATATATATATCCTTTAGAAAAAAAAGCATACTACTCCTTTAATTTAGTTTCTACTTTTCAACCTTAAAATTTATGCAAATAATAATAATAATTAATGATG